AGAAGAGTCTGCCACAGTCGAGTCTTGGTCAGGCATTCGACTGGGTCCGAACCGCAGTCTTCTCCGGCCGAATGAGTTTCATGGTGTTCATCTAACTCGAGATCCTTTGCCATCGTGACTGCTGTCTTGCACGTCATCCACGATCGGTAGTAATATCCGCGTTTGGGCGCGCTTTCACGAGCTTTCAGAAGAAGTAGTAGGGCTTGTATAGTGCTGATTCGCGGACTATCCAAGAAACATGCCTCGTGCTCTGCCACCTATAAGCATCGATCTGAGAACGCTTAGGGTGGGAGACTTACTGTTGGCAAGCGCCAGCCATTGAGCACCTTGAGCAGGATCATCCGAAAGACGACCAGCATTGGCAAAAATAGCCTCGAGGACTAAAGGAGACAGGGACGCTCGGTCGTAGCGCCATTGGTCGTAGAATTGCCGCCTATTGAGGACGGGTACATATGGATGTACGTCTCTAAAGAAAGTTTGAAAGGCTTGTAAGGCCTCCTCGTCTGATGGCATTAGTGCCGGCGGGATCCGAATCTGCGAACCAGCATCGGTACGGAAAGCCGCAGCGATTTTTGATTCTGGCTCGGGCTCTTGTACTGGGACTTCAGAATCCTTGCCTTGGCTTTTCTCTGACCGCAGGTAAGGCGCAATGCCGTTCTCGCCAATCTTCAATTCACCAAGATACTCTATGAGTTCCCCTGCGGTCATTTGGTCGATCGGCGAAGAATCAGAGCGCTCTTGTTTAATTGCTTCCGAGTCGGTCTGGAATGGCGGGTAAGTTTGTCCGCCGGTCTGATACGGGTCGTTCAAAGATCCCGGGAACTGCTGCGGGCTCGGATAGAAATTGCCATATGACTTTCCAGTCATGTCGTAAGATGACTTCGGATAGTTGGCAACATATGCATCATAAGAAAAAGCGCCAGCTTGAGTCGGCTGATACGACTGCTCTGGAGCAGCATAATTTTGGGTTTGCTGTACTGGTGGCGCTGGAGGTGGAATGTAAGGTTGCGATTCGATGCTCTGCTCAGCGATATTCTCAGGTGCCATATCCCCTACGTCTCCTTCCAAGCCTCCCGTTGGAGGCACACAGTGTAACTTGAGTCGAACACAGGCGGCGCAAGGCCACGTGTTGGTGGTGGCAGAATCACATTTGATCTTGCGGCGGCGGCATCCCTCACATGCGCGCATCACCTTGAGGCGCTTATGCCGATTGTGTTCGTCGACAAAGACATAGTTCTTGGGACCTGGCGGAGGGGCGGGAGTCGTCGAGTAGCCTTGCATGGTGCAATACCATTCGTGTCGGATGACACCACATTGGGTAAGTGCAGAGGCGGCGACAGCTCGATCCAGGTCAATGCCCGCTGTCGAGGAGGGGCGGGGTTCCTCGAGTCAATGTTATTGTATATGAATTGTTGATCTACCCAGTGCGCGGATTGCTGACTGTCGATGAATTCAGTGGTGCTGGATCTCCGAGCGACCAGATCTTACGATGGCGATTATGATGGGGGGGAATTGAAAGATCAGGTTGTCAGTGATGGCAAAGATGCTTTCCGCGTGGCGCAATCTCAAACTCGAACCTCGGCATGTGGAAAATCCATGTGGTCCTCAGAAGCAGCGGTCAGAATGGAGATAGCAGAAGATGGCACATTAACGCTGCGCCAAACAATGGTAACGAAGTCGTCAAACACCAGAGATCCAAAAGGTTTCGAAATGAGTAGCGACAGCCCCGCGATTGCCCAGTAGAGATAGAGGAAAGAAGTGGGTGCAGGTAGTGTATGACAGGAGATCCTTCCGCTTATGCGAGAGAAGGGGTGATGGGGCCACAGAACAGCGGGAAAATCTTCGTGCTCGGGTCCTGGCGGTATGGTGCCTTGATCGTGCTTGATGCCTCCTCTCCTTGGAGGGGTGAGGATGCCAACAAAGTCGATTGTGTGTCGGCCAGGGTAGATTGTTGTGTCTCGCTAAAACGTCAGCGAGTGATCAAAATTCGAAGACGGGAAATCAGGAGGCGGAGGCGGAGGCTCGAGCTGTCTGTGCCATGCCAGTGTGTGGTGTTGCGGCAGAGGTCTCAGGTGTCGGTGCCAATGTAACAGCTGCTCGACTTTGGTTTTGGTTTGGTGGAAATGATACAAGGGTTGAAAGGTCGGCCAGGCACAGCGGCACATCGTTGGCTAGACCGCTGTCAGCGCCCAATGCAACCTAAGAGGATCACCCGGTTAAAAACCTGTTGGCTCCTCCACCTCCAAATGGACGCGAGGCATCTAAAGCTGGTCCTGCGTGGCGAGCGAAAAGCGGGCTGACAGCTCAGAGTCGTTGGTTTAATGCTACAGCCGTCTCAACACACGAACTTATTACCTGGAAGCCTCCAAGTCTTGTTGCTGCATAGCACCACAGTATGGCTTAGGGCGAACTATCTCCCTCGTGTGGTGGTCAGATTGAGGAGTTCACGATTGGGAGTAGATCAGTGCCATAGCATCAACGAGCCCTGATTCGTGATGCGGCGACTTCTGAGCAATGCTCTGGTAATGTCTGCCATTCGCCGAGCTGGAACACCTTGCCACTTTGAGAAATTCGTCGGGGTGCGAGGCATGCCTGCTGTATAGCGCGCAAGAAAGCCGCCGTCTGTCCTTTGGAAGAAAAAGAAGCTTCCGTTGTACCTTCTTCGGGGGCCATCGTGGGCTTCGGGCTTCGATCTTCGCCACTAGAACACCCTTGTGGGGCTGATGAGGCCCATTTCCGGGGGTGAAAGACACATGTCTGAACCGGTCACAGCGGTTAAGGACCAGTGGGACCTGTAGTAGGGCCTTCTCGCAAACCTTGGGCGAGCAGCACGATGGAGCCGCCGACTCCAGCTGCAGATTGATGGTACATATAATAAGCAATTTTACGTGAGCATCAAAGCAACAGTGTTTTGACTAGGTACACAGTACAGGTCAACTATCGTGAACTGTGATCTGCCGAGATCGGGCAATTCGAGTCGATCCGGTCGAGAACATACTGTGGCTGCAGCGGAGTTCTGTTCTGCGAAGATCACTCAAAAGACAAGGCCTTGGAAGGCCTAGGCTTACCGAATGGCGTAGCTGAATGGAACTTGCCGTCCGAAGTACATAAAGCACGAGGATTCGGACAGGTGCGTCAAAGACTGGTATATAATAGTATATCCCCACGATTGCGTGGGATCGTGAGTGGGCGGAGCAGCTGCAACAGAGGCGTGGCCAGGCCAACTCCTTTGGATGAAGACTCTCTCACTGGCCATTGTGCATAGATACGCGAAACCTCGTTACAAGATCCTGCAGACATGGGCAGAAGCGGTGGCTCATCGTACGGTGATGAAGGGAGCTCTTTACGAACAGGAGACGTGCCTTGACAGGCCTTTGGTGCCGGAAAGAATGTGACAGTACTCCATACTCCGTAGATCTTCATGGTCAATCTGGAGGAAGACCACCTGAGCCGGCAATATTAATAAGGCAAGACGAATGAAGTGCAGAACAAAATCGCAACAATCGAGAAGCACGATTCGAATTACTAAAGTTCGCCCCCGGCATGCCGGATCATGCACTAATCCTAATGTGCACAAGCGTTAGAAATGGCTTCTGGCGCAATACTAGTAGTTCTGATTCTGATTGCTTATCAACTTTCTATCCTCTTCGTAAAGCACCCTCGCACCATACACCCATAGGCCGCTACAATCAGCCCGCGCCTCCTAACACGCAATTCCAATCCGAGCCATCTTCTCTGACTTAGCACAAACAAGCCTTCCCACCATGGAAGACGGCAAGAACGCCAACCCTCTCATCATCAACCCCTCAGACCTGCCTACTCGCAGGCGGCGGGCATCAGCGCGAGACGATGCGTCCAACGGCTCGGTGACATTTGCCTATCCAGCCGCCTCTTTCACGAACGACCCTTTCCTGCGATCCTCCAGTCCTTCTTCCTTGGAAGAGAGCGATAGTGATTCAGAAAATGAGCCCATTGACTCTCAAGAGATCTACGACCTCATCGCCACCATGTCTGATCCAGAACATCCCATAACACTTGGATCTTTAGCAGTAGTGTCTCTGCCCGACATTTCGATCAAACCTACAATCCCGAGTCGCCCCAATTCAAACCTTCAGACCGTCACTGTCCTCGTCACTCCTACTATTCAGCACTGCAGTTTGGCAACCGTGATAGGCTTGGGAGTTAGGGTGCGGTTAGAAGAATCATTGCCCCCAAGGTTCAGGGTTGATGTTAGAATCAAAGAAGGGACACATTCGACCGCAGATGAAGTCAACAAGCAATTAGCAGACAAGGAGCGGGTAGCCGCAGCATTGTGGAATCCCACGTTGCAGAGCTTCATCAAGAAAATGCTTGAAACGTGCGAATGAGACAACGTGTTCTGGTGACCAATGGAAATGAATTTGCAAGCAGCAATTCTCTAAGATATTCACCATTTCGGTCCGCTTAAGCTCCGATACCAACATTTACGGATGACCGTACTGGTAACATCTTGAGAAACGGTTCGATGCGCGAAATGCTAGGCGCAAAGCATGGACTATTTCCTTCACAAGCAAGCCGCAGTCTCACTGACCATGAGTGGGAGGGCTTGCTGTGAGAAGAGGTCCACGCCTCAAGGCGTCTCATGGCGTCTCGGGGCAGGGAGAGATGGGAGGGAGGCAGGGAATCGGTTGAGCAATCTGGACACGGTATAGAGGCATCCATGGCTGTGAAGCTGTCCATGGCTCTCAAACTGTGAAGCTCTTCATGCTCGTGCTGAGGATGGGGGAGTAACATCGACGGTGTTGGCAGCAAAAACAACCAGGCAGCAGGCCATGCAGGCATTACCGAGATAATATATGGACCATTTGGATTGCACATATTAGCACGTATAGTTATCCTGCGAGACACTGCCAGAAACACCAGAAGTAAAAGAGATATCCCACAGCACGCGCCAAAAATGCAAAAAAAGGATATTGCCAGAGGGAATTGAGCCCTACGTGGGCTGAAGAATTGTTAGTACATGTGTATGCGTGTGATAGAAGGAAATATCTTACGGTCGAACCCACAGCCTTAAGATTGCTATCTCTCGTATAAGAGTCTTACGCTCTACCGATTGAGCTAGCAGGGCAGCTGAAAATCTGTGTGCGATTTTTGAGTAAAAGTTTGCACCTTTAATATATGTCCTTGCATTTTAATGTGGCGGCTAGGTCCGCTAAAGCAATTCCGCACGTGATCCCTACGAGGCTTATTCGCGGGAAAGGTGGCGAGCTCCGGATGTGATGTTAAGAGCCTACTGCGGGTTCACCATCGACACCTTCGTATGCTGGAGACGAATGAGGACTTGCAACATCACACGTGCCAGTATACATGCTCGGTACCTATTACCAACCATGCCTATAAACTTCCTGGTTACGATGATGACACCCTCCCGTCTTGAGCGTTCGAGGAGAATCTATGATGCTCTCCGGCGATGATCGAAGTCAAGCCGAGCCAAGCATACACTCAGCATTTCGTGTACATCGCAGGGCTTCTTGGGGGAGTAACCAAGCTGACTGGACCTTTCCAATACGTGGACTGAGATACCTCTATCCCCTTGTGCCTACAGTCATCCTCGACCCTATTGATGGCGAATTGATGCTTGCCTTGTGCAGCTTGGGACGAGTAGCGGACCAGCTTTTCATTCCTTTTCCCGCACGTGCAAGCTTAGTTGTCTTGGCGCTTATCACTGGTCCATCCAAGCAATGTCGTTAATTTACAGCCAATCAAGTGTGCACGTGGGTGGGCTCTTGAGTGTCGATTTCAACCTCAAGATTTTTTCTTCCCACTAAAGATTTGCATCCTCCACATCTTCATCGCCTCCGTGCGCCTCTCACCAGCAAAGTTTTCCTACCGTTGCGAGTACCGTTGCGAGAATTCCCTCTGGCTCTTCATGCATAAGCGAACACGCCTCAACTCATACAATCATGATCGGCGTCGCCAGGAATGACACCGAGCCAAGACCGGGCGAAACAGCAAGTGCAGCCGGGGGTCACCGTGGTCCACGGTCCAGGTTGACCAGGTCCTTGTGAAGGTACGATGCTTCTTTGGCTGCCGAGTAGCTTCTTTCTCTGTGAGCATCCACCTTCCTCCCGCCCACCCCTCGATTTGACATTTCGATCTTTTGATCTTTGACCGGAAAAATTGTTCTTTCTACTTGTACACTGTAAGAATCTACACTTTCCCTACATACTCCAGACACTTTGTACGGTTCATCTTTTCAGTCCTCGAGGCCTTCGCAATCCTCTCTGGACCACTGTCGCGTGGCGTGTGAGGCTCTTTGCTGCGAGGCATCAACTTCTCGCCAGGCGCGTCGGCATATTTGACCTCCACCGTCAATCTCGACATCTCGCTACTGCTCGAGGCGCTGACGACTCTTTCCTCGGCCCCTGTCGTCACCCGACGTTCCATCTCTCAGTCAGTATCTGCTGCCGAACGAGTCATATTGTCTTCCCTGAGCCTTCGGCGATTAGCATCACCTCCGAGTGCCAACCAGCTTGGCACGCTCAACCCCGGCACGACCCCCCTGCTGTCGCTTGCCGGCAAATCAACACGGACCTTTGAAACTCGTGGCTCTACTCAAGCTTTCTCTGGTATATCTTGAGTGATCTTGTCATCAGCCACTTACTCCCATTGCTACCTTGACTGGACGCCTCGATCCGCCTGCTCCGACTATCAAGCTCTTTTAGGCTCTAGGGTGGCTGTTGCTTAGCCGGTCAACCGTCCTACCCCAGCATCATCCAATTGACAGCACGCCTTGGCTGCCGTCAAGATCGTTTCTTATTTTCTCTGCAACCCTTGCGCGTGCCTTCCCTTGCGTAAAAAGGCTGCCTTCCGTCCTTCAGTGACAGGGTTACTCTTCGTCCATCTGCAGGTCGATTTTCTCCCTACATATCGAGACTTGAGACAAGCCTGATCACTATGGCATCCAACGGCAACGGAGGTGTCTTCGACTATGGCCCGAACGCTCCACATGGGCCCGATGTTACTGGCACACATCCCATTGGGATCGACTATAGCGACATCGACATGACACAAAACGAGAAGGAAGTTTTCAAGTTCCTGTTGAAGCCCGACGACAGCTTCGACGAGGATGGTGTCTACTGGGCGGATCTCCCTATCATGAAGCGCATCAAATTCGTTAGCAAGGTCGACCGAGCCGAAACCCGCAGAGAGTTCGGTGCCTTCTGGCAAATGTTCAAGAACGACCCCCTTTCTCCAGTTGGCTTCTACTTCCGCAACATGGTTCTGCCTGGTGCTGGCCTTGGTCTTGAAGGTTACGTTTTGTTCTCCATCGGCAACGTCAAACCTCTCTTTCAGAAATCATTTCCGGCATGTTGGGGCAAAAACGAAATCTGCAACGCGACCTGGATCTATGCAGTCGACTACCTGGAAATTTGCGGCATCATTGTCGGTCAAATCCTGGTTGGCATCATTGGTGACTGGCTCGGTCGTCGATGGGGTTTGATCCAAGATGCCACCATCATGTTTATTGGTCTCATCATGTTGACTGCCTCATGGGGCGTGACCCAAAACGGTTGGGTTATCTGCTACGCTTGGTCACTCTTCTTCTATGGCATAGGCGTTGGAGGAGAATATCCTATGACTGCGACTTCCGGTATGGAGAACGCTGTCGGCTCCGGAAAGATTTCGACCCGCGAGGACCGTCTTCATCGTGGCCGCAAAGTAACCAGCGCCTTCTTGATGCAAGGTTGGGGTCAATTCTTCAACCAAGTCATCCTCATCCTCCTTCTGCTCATCTTTCACCATGGCAGCGGAAACGCACCTTACTCTGAGGTTGCTGCTCAATGGACCTACCGTGTCTCCTTCGCCATCCCGGCTGTCGGCACTTTGTGGCTGGTTTACTGGCGTACCTTCAAGGTCAAGGCCACTGCCAACAAACAATTGAGACTCGCCAAGGCCAAGAGCAGCGTCACTGGCTATGACACTAAAGCTTTGTCATTGACGGTCCGTTACTTTGGTGGCCGCCTGCTGGCAACTGCTGGCACTTGGTACATGAATGATGTCTTCTTCTATGGCAACAAGCTGTTCCAGAGCGAATTCATCAAAGTCATCATGCCTACCAGTACATCCATCATGCCAGGCTGGCTCTACAACCTGATCAATGTCGGTGTCTCCCTCTGTGGCTACTATCTCGCCAGCTTCCTCATCGACAACAAACTGTACGGTCGCAAGCATATGCAATCCGTTGGTTTCCTGCTCGACTTCATTCTTTTCGTCATTCCAGCCTTCAACTTTGACTATTACACCTCACCCGCGCACATCAAGTCATTCCAGGCCATGTATTTTCTGTCTTCCTTCTTCAACCAGTTTGGACCGAATTGCGTCACCTTCCTTGTCGCTGCTGAGGTGTATCCGGTTGCTGTCCGTGCCACAGCCCACGGTTTCTCCGCCGCCTGTGGCAAGCTCGGTGCTCTAACGGCTGCTGTCCTCTACAACTACATCGACACCCAGACCAAGTTCTATGTTGTACCATGGTTTGGCTTGGCAGGTGTGTTCTTGAGTGTTGTTTTCATGCCAGACACCACCGGTCTCGATCTCAAGGAGCAAGAACGCCGCTGGGCCTTCATTCGTGCTGGACGCGAGCACGAATATCACGGCATTGCCATCCACCCCAAGCACTTGAGCTTGTGGGAGCGCCTCCGCGGTGTCGGCAAGCATTACGACGCGGACCTTGATTACAAGCAGAGAGTCGAGGAGATGCGCGGCGAATGGGAGGCTCGCATGCAAGAAAGGGCTTCAGAGAAGGCCGGCCTTCAGGATCTCGATGCGTTCGAGGACGACCATCCTTCGGAAATTCACTCCTATTTCGCTCGTTCCACCAAGTCTCCTAATCTCCAAGGTGCCGAGAACGAGAAGATCCCCCCTATGGACAATGCCAATGGCCGGTCAGACAACATCTAGACAACAGACTTGTGGTGTTTTGCCTCGAGTTATTGTATCCAATGTTAAAAGAGTTGTTCGTGCATAAAATACGCACATACGCAGATTTTCAGCGGCAGCTATCGACTTTGACTTGGATTCTTTGTCTTTTGTCCTTTCGGTATGACTATGAGTCTGCAGGCTGATTGCGCGAGAAAAAGCGACTGTTCTTTATGTGAATCACCACTGTTCAAGGTTAGCTAGAAAGAGAGAGGCAAGTGAATTGGTTTTGATGCAGGCATACATTCAATCAATGAGCCGAGAGAGCGAGCGAGCGAGCGAGTAGAAAATGGTATCGATTGATGCAAGTGTGTTCAGTTAGAAGCCAGGGTTTCTGTACCATTCATTGCGTTGGGTATTTTTTTTTTCTCTCGTTAGAAACTAATGATTACGAAATATACATCTTCAAGCATTGATTCATGTGATCGGGATACTGCTGGTGATGCCGATGTTGATGTTGATGCTCATCCAGTAGCATTGTCCTCAGCATTGTCCTCAGCATCGTCCTCAGCCTCGCCCTCTGAAGTATCCTTCTTCTCGGTAACACGTTGACCTTCTCCGATATTTGTCGTCTATGGCTCTCGATGGGTCAGGTAGGCCAGCCCAAGCTATTCTTGTCGAGCTCAGCTCCTCCCGGAACTAAAGTCATAGGTAATTATTTCACACACCCTCACACGCATCCTTTCTTTAGCTAGCTAGCTATAAATAAAATCTAGTAACTAGTACCTACCTACCTTGTGACCTTAGTGATGACCAAATGCCAATGCCAATCCTAATGCCACTGGTACCTACCTAGGTAAGTCTCCCAGAAATTCGGAATATATAGTGCATCAGCTGATATAAACACTTACTACTATTGCCCGCAAGAGAGACGTGCTTAGATAAAACATAGTCCTCGAATATCGATAGAACTAAACGTCACGCTCAACCTCATTGATATCGACAACGTCAACGTCAATCTTCGTTAGTCGGATTCCTGCTTCATCCGCTGGATACGACGGGTGTACACCCCTATCGAATCCATATACTCATTCTCGAACATCATCTAGATCGGCAGAAAGTACACGTCGCATTACGATGGGACTGGGCCACTCTATGGACCTACATCGACCATCATCTACTAACCGAGACAGCATACGTTACTTTGGCGGA